AAGTCCACGAGTCATAAAAGAGCCAAGGTTGCCTACCCCTGCACTAGACCAAACTGGCTCTCTATACTTGCCTTTCACCAAATTTGTGCCCAGCTTTTGTTTTATGTGGAGACTGATTGCACCAGTGGAGATAGAGTGGAATCTACCAACAGGATATGTTGGATCTATCTCCTTTTCTAATATTCTTTAGGTACTCGTATGCTATCTCTGCCTAACTAATGGTAGAGTAAGTTCTGACATATCTGTATTTGTGTATCATAGCCAGGATTTTCAAACACGCATGGCAGACAATTCTTGACTACTTTTCCTTGCTACTGTTGTTGGTGGGGGGGGAATATGAACGCTACTTCTAAGAATATGTATTATTTACAAGCGGCCTTGGCTGGCTTCTCAAAAGTCAGAATCAGAAGCCATGGTTTATTTTTGGCATTTGTTCCCTGAGTTGTTTGGGAAGGAGGAGCCAGGTTTATAATCCATTTATTAGAAAAAATGTACATGTTTAGACACTAGAGAGACGGGACCAAGCACAAGCAATTGAGCAGCATGTATTAGAATGATGGTTCATTCATGATATGTCACATTTTTTGACAATTCCAGCTAACTCCGACATGTAAATATTCCCATTTCATTTAATACATGATTTTCTGCTCTGATGCTAACATTTTGGAAGCAAATCTTGTATTTATATTGGATCAGTTTTAGTGGGAACTAACATAGCTATAGAGATGCATGGAAATTATTGTTTTGATTCCCTTCCTAGGACATGTGCAATTTTTGTCCAGTGTTTTGCAACATCTCTTAAAACATTTGAAGATGACCACGGCTCATCTACTGAATCTGAAAAAATACACAGAAATAACAGTTTAATAAACAAATCTGTTAGTACCCCACTTATTTTTATTAAGCAATAACCCCATTATTTTGGTAGACTATTGGATTTACTATTTGTAAGAAAGAGTATCCCTCCCTTTTTAACCCATCACAGAATATTGATGATGTAACTGATAACATTCTATGTAGAAAATTCTACCAATAGAATTTTAATTTTACATTATTAAGGCAGCAGCTGTAAAAAAAATTTAAAAAATACCAATGGTTGAGCTGGGATCCTTACACACCTAAATTTGAGTATGTATAGGCAAACTGATGTTCACAAGTACAATAGTGAGAACTCCTGGTACAGAACTTAAATTATTGTTTCTTCATATTTTCGAACCTTATTGCATTTTTGTTATCTTAGTAGAATGTTCGCTATCTTCCCCAAACCTCTTCCAGTTTTTCACCCCTATCCTGGGTGTTTTGTAACCCAGAGAAAACAAAAGATACTTCCTTGTACCCAAATGGATGACTCAGTTAAGACCACATTTCTGGCTTCATAATTCATGTCATAGGTGTGCTTCAGAAGGAAAATGCATGCTCTGTGACACATAGTTTCCATTTCTAGTTTTCTAACAAGCCCGTATTTGCTTATGTTGGGTTGAGAGTGCTCCTGGTCTGCTCATCCTGGTCTGATGAAGTCTTGATTGCTTCTCTTCCAGCATGAGAGGTCTGGCATGAGAGCAGAGCTTTGAATTAGAGCAGTGCCTGTGAGGAAAGTGAGGATGTTTGTGAATTTTGCTCTAGCTAGTCAAGAAAAACATCAGGAACTGATAAGGCAAAGACAAACCATAATGGGTCATATCCATCCTAAGGACCTATCTAAAATTACTCTACTACACGGAGAGCAGGAAATGGGTATTATGAAGAAATTCAGACTTAAATAGTTCTCTCCTTGGCAGCCTGTAGCTTGTTTTCATTAGGTCACGGGAGGTGAGTCAAGCTTGAGGAAATGGGGCAAAAAGTCAAAATCCTAGATTCACATTCCACACAAAGGTAAAGTGACCTCAGGCTACTTGAATTTAATTGCTTCTGTGCTGAAATTGCTGGATTCACCAATCAGATAAGAAGCACATACAGTACATTTAGGAGCAGTCTGTCCTTTAAGTCTGGAGCACATTTTGAGCATAGGGGTTTATGTTCAATAAAGAATAGAGTTTGAAGTCTTTTAAAATTAAAGCCCAATCTTGCTTGCTCTATTTCCATAGTTTTAGCTGAAATGGAAAAGACCATTTGCTGGGAATTAGATATCCAGTTTGCTACAATCCCCATTTCCATAAACTTGGTGGCTTATCACTCATCCAGTTGTTGTCTTTGATAGAAGTACACATAAGCTGTTGACCAGTTCTGCACTTCAGATTAAATTGTAGCTTATACTGGGAAGAATTCGCTAAATTCAGTGCTTTTTTTCTAAAAAAAAAAAAAAAAAAAAAGGTGCCAGAACTCACACATGTCAAACAACCCACCTTGCCTACCCTACAAGGTTCCATCCAAAAAAGATGCCGGAACTCCATTCTGAGCGTTCTATGAGAAAAAAAGCCCTGGCTACATTGATGATTCAGTATAATGCCCCTTCGGAAACATAGTTTACAAACTATAGTGGATACTATTTTTGTGTATTTTATATAATTGCCCATTTTGTATTTTGTAAAGCCTCCACATTGAATATGTTTTCTGTCTCTTCCTGCCTTCCATCATTCTCCTCCCCAAATCTGTAGCTTCTTTTTATGCATCTTTTTCTAAGATCACTGCCCTTTGTTTATAGGCCAGTGGTGGCGAACCTATGGCACGGGTGCCAGAGGTGGCACTCAGAGCCCTCTCTGTGGGCACGCGCGCCATCGCCCCAGTCCTAGGCCTTCAGCTGGGTTTTATAAAACCTTTTTGCTTTAGGCCTCCGCCACCGTGTTAAAAAAAAAAGGTTCAATCAGTCAATTTCAACTTCTTGCGGGGGAAAAAAAAAGATCTTGCAAAGTTGGAATTGATTGATTGAACTTTTTAGTCCCACCCAGTCTGCTGTTACCACCGCAGCCACGCCCACCCAATGGGTCACACCCACCCAATGGGCCACACCCACCCGGCACCCTACGATACATAAGTGGGTTTTGGGTTGCAGTTTGGGCACTCAGTCTCTAAAAGGTTCGCCATCACTGTTATAGGCTGTGCTTATATTCCTCTATTTAATGTAGTACATAAAGGTAAGTAATAATCTGCTTTTTCCCCCACTTGCCAGTTTCTTCGATCTTACCAAAAAGTCATGCTTTCCCCCAGAAACCTATCTTCTTTTTGGAGAATCCTCATAGTTATTGTTGGGTTTTTTTAAAAAAAAATTATAGCAAAACAAAGTTTGGCAATGATGGGCTACTTTTACAGTGGTTTTGCTGACTTGACACAATGATGTACTTTGGCTGTTGACTGGTTATTTTTATTTTCAACTGGTTATCAATGTTTTGTATTGGTTTTTGATTACCAACTTTGGTATATTTTGGTTATAGCATTTTGGCTAGGGAATTCCTAGGAGTTTGTCTATACTTTTAAAGTTGCCAAACTTGAAAAACACAGTTTTAGAATTGTAAGCCACTCAGACTCCTTTGGGGGAGAGAGTGGCCATACAAATTGAATGACTAAATAAATCTGTGTTTTTCATTTCTTGAGACTATATTATGGCAATTTTCGAGGTCAAGCAATCAGAATACTGCCCAACCCTGCTCTTACGTATGTTGATTTGCCACCTGAAAGCCTAAAGATTCCTCCTGTATGCTGTCATGGAATAAGCAGGATAATTTTCATGTACCAGCTGAACTGGATTCCCCAGGCATTTGTGTTTGGCAAGTTTTAATCCCTGAGCATATAGCAATGGAGTAGTTGTGTATGAAAGCACCTTTCTTGTTGTATATGACCATGTGAACTGAGTATGCAACTGCTACAGTAATTTTATCAAAACACATGGCCACCAGGCTCAATGCAATGCCATTTTTAAGAATCTTCATCAGAAAGGCACAATAAATAATTGCCCCCATCTTGCTGCAAACATTACCTCACCTTCTGTTAAATTTCAAGGGGCTTTTTTTCTCTCTTCATTTCGTTGGATTTGTTTAGTCTTTTGATTAAAATGCCTTTCATAAATAAGTCATGTCTGTTGGATTAAAAGAAATGGACAGGTGTAGTGAAGGGGTTTACAGGATGTCTTCTTCTTCAGAGCCTCATCCATTATGACCCATCTTGCTCATTTAGTCAGAGTTTCTCTTGGCTTCCAGCTTAGCTTGAACACAAGGGCAAGTCACTTCTGAAATTTTGCCATGAAAACTTCAGGGACTTGTCCAGGCAGTTGCTAAAAGTCACCACTACTTGTAAGCACTCCAAAAAGCCACAAACTATTGTGAAGGGGGAAATATGAAATAATCTTACAATAGCATATTGATTCTAGTCCAAATCGTGGGGAAAATACCTACAAACCTCAGTGGCCTTGGAATGACTAAGCAGTCCCAGGTTATAGCCTGCTGAGTCATAATGACTGTGGTAAGTAGCACAGAGTGGCATTGCATGGCGCTCTCAACAGAAAGTTATCTGTGCTTCTGGTTGACCTGAGGGAACCACACGAAAAGGACCATCTTGCTCCCTCTTCTAATTGAAAAAGCTTAATCTGAGCAATATTCCCTCATAAGTATTTTGATTTTTAAACTTTTTAATTCTCTTCATTTCAAGTGTACCTGATATTCTTTGGAGCTAAGACTGAAGGTTCTGTGTCTGGCAAACCACACACACACACACACACACACACACACACACACACACACACACACACATATACATATACATACATGCAGCCAGCATGCCTGTTTCATGGATGTGGGGAGGTTAAAGATGATCTTCTGGAGGAATGGTATATTCATGGAGCAAAGGAGGTACTTTCTGCCTCCTGCGTGCACAGCAGTGCAAAGCCAGAAGTGAGCTATTACCTTGGGTTGTACACTACCTAACCAGACCTCTTGCTTCTCTGTCCCCTGTGCAGGTATCAAGACTTTGCTGCATGCCAGGCCTCTGTAGCAAGGCCCCCAGCTTAGCCGCCTCTGCTGGTGCCCCTGCTCTTTTCCTGCATTCCTTCGTGCAATGCAACTGCTTCTGTGATGTATGCCCCAGAGTGCAAGGCGGAGGTGACTCCCTCACACAATGGCAGTCGCACCTTCAGCTACACCCTGGAGGATCACACCAAGCAAGCTTTCAACATCATGAATCAGTTGCGCCTAAGTGAGCAACTTTGTGACGTCACCTTGCGAGTCATATACAAGGACATTCCCCCGGCCGACTTTCAGGCCCACAAGGTGGTGCTGGCCTCCTCCAGTCCAGTCTTCAAGGCCATGTTCACCATGGGCCTCCGGGAACAGGGTATGGAGATAGTCCCCATTGAGGGCATCCACCCCAAAGTAATGGAGCGCCTCATTGAATTTGCCTACACCGCCTCCATTTCCGTGGGCGAGCAGTGTGTGCTGCATGTTATGAATGGGGCTGTCATGTACCAGATAGACAGTGTGGTGAAGGCCTGCTGTGATTTTTTGGTGCAGCAGTTGGACCCCAGTAATGCCATTGGCATCGCCAACTTCGCTGAACAGATTGGCTGTACCGAACTGCACCAGCGGGCACGGGAATATATCTACATGCATTTTGGAGAGGTGAGACCCTGTGCAAGGAAAGGGCACCTAGGGGAACAGGAGCAGCCTGGGTATACCTCCAAAGGAAGTTTGAATTAGAATATGGCTTTGCTTTTGACTGCCTTTCACAATTGATTTGCTGTTCTTGATTATGGAAGAACAGCTCTTCTATCTCTTCCAAACAGGCAAGATACTATTTTCCCACCTTTTCTATGCTGCAAATCTTACCAAGTCATCACCTGGATGTCTGATATATACTCATTGTGTTTCTGCAGACATAAGGGGCTGGAAACTTGGTTACTTTGTGGTGAATGCTTAATAAGACACTGAAAAGTTGGGGGGGGGGAATTCTGTAGCCATCACTGGCTTCTGCCTCTTTTCTAAATTTGCATTTAGAATGAAACTAATGGGTTGGTTGCTAATGTTTATTCAATTTATATCAATGGTTCTCAACCTGTGGGTCGGGACCCCATTTGGGGTCGAACGACCATTTCACGGGGGTCGCCAAACAAGACTGTCCGCCATTTTCCCCCCCTTTTCTTTGGCCAGGCTCCTGGCACCCGGTGATGTATAAGTGGTTGGGGGTCACCACAACATGGGGAACTGTATTATGGGGTCGCGGCATTAGAAAGGTTGAGAACCACTGATTTATATCCTGCCTTTCATTCAGGAGTCCTAAGTGGCATGGCACTCTTCCTTCAATTTTTCCCCCCACAACATCTTCCCTATCAGAGGTTGGACATAGGGAGAGCATAATAGACCCAGAGTCACCTAGTGAGCTTCCCATTGCTGAGGGTGGTCAAGAACTTGGACCTCTCTGTTCCTAACAGAGCCCTTAGCCCCTAAGCTTGCCCATAGCAGTATTTCTGCTGGGAGAACCTATCATCTGGCTAAACAGTGCAAAATAAAATAGGGACACTGTATGTCATGTGAGACTCTGCAGGGAAGCAAGTGTTTTCTTCTCCTTGGGTGAAGTCTGTGTATAGACTTTGTGTCAATGAATGTAGTAGCACTGCTCCATGTTGGTTCATACTATTCAAAAATATCCTCCCTCTTTTTTTTTTTTATCACCTTCAGAAGAGAAGTTGCCAAGCTCCAAACAATAACTAACCTGTAAGAATTTGGCTTGCTTCCTTCTTAAATTATAAGATTAAATGCCAAACTGTGTTTTGGGGGGGAAGAATTGCGAATACTGTAGGCTGGCTGGGCAGGCATGGCTTCCTCTTTTTCCACTGCAGGGTTCATTTTCCAGCCATTTCAGAAGACTAGAGGAAGCAGGGAGTGATCATGAATTAGCTGTTTCTGCCACTCCCTGCTGATCCAGCATAAAGTAACATGGATTGGCAAAGGACCCTGGCATTGCTTTCTCCCCGCTCCACTGGCCCCTTTGATTTTATGCTGAATACACCAGAAAGAGCTTTATCATCAGACACCAATAAAGCTTTGCTTTGTGTGATTAGTGAAAGCCCATCCAGAAGGGCTGAGCAAGAACAGAATTCCTAATTTTGTAGCCCATCTGCCTTCCTTGGGCTTCCTTCCTTGTCAATCCCAAACCTGAGTGATAGATAAAGGAGGGCTAGATTGTGGTTATTCCTCTCCATCTCTCTGCACATCCTTTGTTTTTGCACACTAACTTGGTTAGAATTCCTGGTTGCTGTTGGCAAAAGATTTAAAGGCAAAGCTGCAGCAGAGGCCTGGGAAGAAATCATGAGATAACGTACCCAGACACACCACAGCTTTTTAAATGTGTGTGAAGCATTAGAAATGGGACAAAATACGATAATTGGTTTGGGGGTATTTTGCGTTGGACAATTGTGCAGTTTACAATGTTTTGGACAGTTGTGCAGTGAACAAGCCACAGAAGATCATTTGAGTTTGGGTGAATATAAACATTCAATCTTTGTGACAAAAATGGAGCATTTTGCTGCTTAGAGTCAGTCTAATAAATTAACCTGATCAGGTGTTCAAATGTAATGATAAATTAAACCCCCCACAGGGAAAGCTTTTGTTTGAAACAAAATTCAATATCTGGATTTTATAAGGGAACAACTGTTTGCCTATTTCTTCATCCTAGTAGACCATAAGAGAACTTGTATGTAATCTAACATCCATTTTGTCTGAGGAGGCCTAATCTGTAGCTTCTATCTTAAGAGTTTAAGATGGAAGCTACAGATTGGACCTCATCAGAAAGAAAACTCTTGCAAAGGTGGATTGAATCCCTCATTTGAATCCCCCCTCCAATCTGATTATCTGATTAATTGCCATCTTTGCTGAGGAAGAATTCTTCTAAAAATTGGAAACTTGCATGCTTTATTAAACTTCATTTGGTCTACTAATGATATTGCCTCAAATGTATTTTGCAATAGGCATAAATATTGCACACTGTTTCTGTTCATCAGTGGACAGTCTGGTCAGTCCTAATAGCAAAATGAGAATGAAGAGTCCAGCTTCTTGTTGGCTTATTTGTAATCCTTGCATTGGTACCAAGAATCACATTTCAAGCTGTAAGAATTTTTATTATCTTCCTACTGCTGATTTAAACTGTCACCCAGGAATGTTATTTCCTTGATTTGCCTGTCATGTATTCCCAAGGGACATATACACATGAATACCTAGACACTGATACACCATACAGTAACCATATATGGGGGGAATGATAGACAGAAAGAAATGAGGTATAATATTAAAATACAAAGAAATGAAGAAAAACATTAGAAAATACCTGATGTGTGTCTCATAAAAATGCCATTTTCAAACCCAATATTTTTTTCTGTGTTTCTTATTTATACTGTACTGCATTTATCTTACGAGATGTCCATAAGTCTTACTCATGTTTTATAGATATCCAGAGTCTTGCCTATAGATTGTCACTTACCCTACTAAATTACAGTTTAATATTCTCGGCAGGTTGAGCTGAATTAAAAAATCTGTTTTACTCCTCAGAAATGATCTGATTTCCGTGGGGATCACATCTGATAAATTGAGTTTAGAAGGTGCTATGTGGGAGGAAAAATATGCAGGGGTGATTATTTCAGCCAGTTGTCAACAATAGTATTGGCACCTATATTAACCCTATAAGAATCCATTCATTCTCCTTTTAGGATTTTTATTATTTTAGAAGTGCCAGTTGCCTTTGATCTAGGCAACAACCTTATATGACTGGCAAAATAAAAATCTGCTTATAGATTATAGAAGGCTGCTAGATCATTATTTCATACTGATAATTTCAGAGGCTAAAAAATTCTAATTTTTATTCCAGATCTTTATCTTCTTTAAACTTAGGGCAGTGCTTCATAGCAGCCTCCAACTACTGGCCTCCTACATTGATTCTGGCTGAAGATGAGCCTGGCTTTAAGAAATCTCTGCTTGGATTTCAAGTTTTGATAATGATGTTGGTCAGATGTTCTTGTTTTTTACAGGCCCTGAATGATTGATTCCCCTGCTTCTTTATCTCACCTGCCAGTGCTAGAAAAGCAGGTGCCAATTGCTTTCCTTTCTCTGGGCAGATCTCTGCAGGCATATGGTTTCCCTTTGTGTGACATTCAGCAACCATACAATGATATATGCAGAAAGAGTCCTAGAGCTCATCTAGAGCAGATTTTGCTTGCTTCTGAAGAGCATATCATCCATCTGCTGTTGTCATCATTAGAAGGGGAAGCCACCCTTCCAAAGTTTGGTGGTTTTGCTCACAGTCTCTCTTCTCCTCCGGTAGGTGTCAAAGCAGGAGGAGTTCTTCAACCTTTCACATTGCCAGCTGGTGACCCTGATCAGCCGGGACGAGCTGAATGTGCGGTGTGAGTCAGAAGTCTTCCATGCTTGCATTAACTGGGTAAAATATGACTGTGAGAACCGTCGACTCTATGTCCAGGCCTTGCTGAAAGCTGTGCGCTGCCATTCCCTCACACCGCACTTTCTCCAAATGCAGCTGCAGAAGTGTGAAATCCTGAAGTCGGATTCCCGTTGCAAGGACTACTTGGCCAAGATCTTCCAGCATCTCACCCTGCACAAACCCACTAATGACATGCCCTGCCGTGCACCCAAAGTGGGCCAGCTGATCTACACGGCAGGGGGCTACTTTCGCCATTCCCTCAGCTATCTGGAGGCTTACAATCCTTCTGATGGCTCCTGGATCCGACTGGCTGACCTGCAGGTGCCTCGCAGCGGCTTGGCTGGCTGCGTAGTGGGCGGACTGTTCTACGCGGTGGGGGGGAGGAACAACTCTCACGATGGCAACATGGACTCGGATGCCATTGACTGCTATAACCCCATGACCAATCGATGGTCTTCCTGCGCCCCTATGAGTGTGGCCCGTAACCGAATTGGCGTGGGGGTAATTGATGGTATGATCTATGCGGTGGGTGGCTCATTTGGGAGCACTCATCACAACAGCGTGGAGAGGTAAGGGAAAAAGAAGCATTACAATAATTCAGTCTTCCCAAATCTTGCTGGTTTACTCTGCTCCCTTGCTCTAGCTTGCAAGGGTTCACAAATGCAAAATGGTCTTATAAAGCTCTAGAGAGCTGGGCATTGTTTTTTGCTCCAGTAAAAGGTGTGTTCTTTTGAAGATTTCTCCTGTTTTCCCAAAATGTCAGAGGGGCACTTTCATCCAGACCTGGCACAGATAGAGTAAAGCCGGTTTATGAGAGAAGGGGTGTCTCGAGTGTCTGCACAATGTGATTGGACAGCTTGGGCTGTTCCCATGGGGAGGGAAAGAGATTGCTGCTGACTTTCCCATCAGCGTGTCCATAGTAATATCAGAACGAAGCCTTCTCGTAAAGCTAATAGGGACACCTGGATTTTTTTCTCATGCACTTAGAAGTGTTGATAAAGGAAGAAAATGCATAAAAGAGTTAATGGTGCAGATGGGAACACGGGAGTGTTTTGGAGAGCCTCTAATATGGTGGTAGAGAGGCCTAAAAATCCATCTGCTTCCCGATTCATCCTTCATCCAGCTTTCTCCCTTCATCAGTGGCTGCAGAGAACTGGCACAGTAAATTAGCAATTGTCAATTAGCATCCTTGTTCAAACAACATAGACAGCAGAAACAAGTACCTGATGTAGCTTCTCTTTTTTCCTCCAGGTACGAGCCGGAGCGTGATGAATGGCAGTCAGTGGCTCCTATGCTGACGCGGCGGATTGGTGTTGGTGTGGCTGTGCTGAACCGTCTCCTGTACGCTGTGGGGGGCTATGATGGCACTAATCGCCACAGCTCTGCCGAATGCTACTACCCCGAGCGTGATGAATGGGAGATGATTGCCACAATGAAAACTATTCGAAGTGGAGCAGGTATGTGTGCAGCAGCAGGAACTCCATACTTGGGACCACAGATGTAAAATTTCTGGAAATGTAGAAACCACAGGGGAAAAAACTGGGCTTTCCTTTTTATTTTAACGGAAATTTTAAATTTGAAAAAATGGCAATATATGTACTTTTATCCTAGTTACTTTCGCATTGCAATTTTAAGAATGTGCAATGCGTATAACTTGTCCCCTCCTTGCAGGATCTTTGCTCTTCTGATAGTCTAGAAAGAAGTATCCCTGTAACAAGTTGTAGGGCACCATTTGGGGGAATAATTGACACCAAAGTAGGAGCCCTCTGTCATACTCCTTTCATAAATCTAGGAAAACAGTTCTTTGTTATTTTATTTCACTTTTTTATTCTTTCTCAAAAAAAAAAATTTTTTTTTCAAAAAAATAAGGCGGGGGAAATTGTCCCGAGCTTTCTTATATCTACCTCAACAGAGAACCTTCATAGTTGCACATTGTAACCAGCTGCTGTCTCTCATTTCGTTGTTCCACCTCCTCAGTTTAAGTCTAAATCCTGTTATCTCCGTGGAGGAGTACATTTGGGTTCTCTGACTATGTTCTTTGTTGCCAGGGATGGTAGCGGTATCTGGAAATGGATAGGAATACCTAGTTGGCAGTTGCTGTGATATGTTAGCTAAGCACCTGGCATATAAAATCCAAGCAGAATTAGATGCTGGCAGCACAGAGTTCAAAGATGTAATGGCTTATGATGTCATCTGGGAAGGTTGAACCTGTTAATCTTGAGGAAATGGGCAGAATTCCTGGTGCAATGAGCTGTACTGGCTATGGGCTTGACTCCTGCCAGTTGCTAGAGTTAGGTAGCAAATCCAAGCTTTGGTGAGGTGGGGAGAAATCACAAGTTGGCAACCTGAGTGCCTGGATTACAGTCATGTGACCCCCAAGAGTGCTGCGGTGGGCAGAACCCTCACACCGCCATTTTTTTCAGTGCCACTGTAACTTTGAATGGGCCCTGGACGAATGGATCTGTGCCAAGGATTACCTGTAATACCATAAACTGGGCTATGGTGGGATGGTGCATCAGACCCAACTGGTGATAGTTGTCCAATTTAGTTTTACACTGGAGTTCTGGACCTAAATTGAGATTGATGAACTGGACGTTGATTTTGGTTGCAGCAAAAATAGAGACTTCATGGGTGCTAATTCCATGGTATTCTTATGCCTGGGGAGATTTCCCTACATTCAAAGCACATTGTGGATGTTTCCTTGCTTCTGCTTGATGCCCAAAAATGGACATTTAGGTCCAAGAATAACATTGCCTTCTACTTGAGCAATATTGTCCAGGATAGGTAGAAAAGATCTCCAGGCATTGTTAAAAGGCCTTCCAGGAATGGTTAAACTCTAGCCAAGCCCTAAATGCAATAGGCTTTCCATTGCAGATTAAGGTTGCAAGAGATCCTGATCTTGAAAATGTGTTATTCCCTCAGTGTTGGGATAAGTCATGCCTGTCTTAATGCTGTTCTTTCCTAATGCAGGAGTTTGTGCTCTGAATAACTGCATATATGCCATGGGGGGCTACGATGGAACAAACCAGCTGAACAGTGTAGAGCGCTATGATGTGGAGGTGGGCACCTGGTCCTTTGTTGCATCCATGAAGCACCGCCGGAGTGCCCTCGGGGTCACTGTATATCAAGGCAAGATCTACGTGCTAGGTACGTTTGGCCAAGGACCTCTTGGCTGGATGTGGGAAAGTACAGACAGCAGCCACAAGCTAGGGCCATTGTGTCCAGGGATGGTTTAGCTCACTTTGTTAATGAGGTGGGGACAAAAGCCAGATTTTATTTGTACAGTTAATAATCCATTCTTGCACATATTTACTTGGATGGCTTAGTGAACTCTTGAGTACATTATATTGTGGTGCACTGGGTTGAAATCAGTGATGGAGACGTATGTAGAAGTGCTCTTATTTGTGTGCAAACTCTAGCAATTTCAGAAAGATTCCCCGATGTAAGTGTTGAAGCGTTTCCAACTACTGAAACACCGGACTCTTGGAAATCTTGATCAAAGAACCAAGGGCAAACATAACATTCCATTATAATTATAATTCAGGTTCATTTATATTCTTATTTGTATGATGCCATTTGCCCCATTCAGCTTGGTAAATACTTTGCCATAATGGATGTGGCAAAGCAACAGGATTTATGCTAGCAAGAGGCAGAGATGTCCCAGCTAGAAGTCTTACATGCTAATCATGGCTAAGAGTCTTCCACCCTCTTCTCTTTGTTGCTGAGATTTCACATGGCTGGCTGTTATCTTTTGCCAAATAAAGCTACTTTCTACCCAGGAAATGAGAGCTGTCCTGTGAGTATAAAGCTGTCCTGCACAGCTGGAAGACAAGGCTTTGGGGTAGTGCTTCTGATTCAACTCAGTTCAGTCAAGGGCTTTCAAATAGCCTCTGACCTTTCTTGGTTAATTGCTGTTTATTTTGCTGCAGGTGGCTATGATGGACAAACGTTTCTGGATAGCGTTGAGTGTTATGACTCCACCACAGATACTTGGACTGAAGTAACGTGCATGACATCAGGCCGCAGTGGGGTAGGTGTTGCCATTACCATGGAGCCATGCTGCAAGCAAACTGAGCAGCAGAAATGCCATTGTTAATGGTAACAAGGAATGTGCTCCACTTCCCTTCAAATGGAGACGATTCAGTATTATAAAATACCTGCTGCCAAGTTGTATTCTGCCAGAATAAAGGAAAAGTGCCAAAAGGATGAGAAACACTTTAAATCCCGTTTGAACTGGCCTTGAGGCAACAATGAAAGACAACTCTTGCTCTGTGCTTTACAAGGATAGCTGTAGTAAATTTGTTGTTGCCTCTGCACGCCGTCTCTGCCTCAGTTTGGGATAGATGCATTAGTGAAGAAGGAAACCTCTCTGGGAGAACTATAGGAGAGCTTGATTCACACTGGCTGTCTGTTTTCTGGTCCCTGGCAGCGAATGGACCTTCAGGAAAGGACCTCCACATCAGGATGGGTGGAAGTATTTTGTACATAGTGCAGCCCTGAGCCCTCCTTAGAAATGTGTCTTATTCGTAGTTTGGCGACCAGTTTTTGCTTGGCAGGTTTGTCCAAGCGCAGATGGGGGAAGGGGAAAAGCTGTGGGGCACTCTTCTGTGACTGATGATCTGCAGGCACAGTGCATCCAGAAAGTATTCAGACCCGCTTCACTTTTATCAATTTTGTTTGCTGCAACCTGATTCTACAGTTGTTGAAATTCATTTTTTTCTCATTAATCTACACTCAGTATTCCATAATGACCAAGTGAGACATTTATGTCTGTAAATGTATTAAAAAGAAAAAAATGAAATATCATATTGGCATAAGTATTCAGACCCTTCACTCAGTAATTGTTGAAGCACCTTTGGCAGCAATTAACAACCTTGAGTCTTTCTGTGTATGACGTGACAAGCTTTGCACACCTGGATTGGGGGATTTTCTGCCATTCTTCCTTTCAAAGCCCCTCGAGCTCAGTCAGGCTGGATGGTGACCGTTGGTGGACAGCTATTTTCAGGTCCCTCCAGAGACATTCAGTAGGTTTCAAATCTGAGCTCTGGCTGGGCGACTCTAGGACATTCACAGAGTTGTCCCTAAACCGCTCCTGTGTTGTCTTGGCTGTGTGCTTAGGGTTGTTGTCATGTTGGAAAGTGAACCTTCGGCCCAGTCTGAGATCCTGAGTGCTGTGGAACAGGTTTTATTGAGGATATTCCTGTACTTTGCTCCATTCAGCTTTCCTTCAACCCTGACCAGTCTTCCAGTCCTTGCTGCAGAAAAACAACATCCACCCACCCCTGGCGTGATGCTGCTACCACGCTTCACTGTTGGGATATTGGGCAGGTGATGAGCGGTGCCTGGTTTCGTCCAGACATAATGTTTAGAATGGAGGCCAAAGAGTTCAAACTTGGTTTCATCAGACCAGAGAATCTTGTTCCTCACAGTCAGAGTCCTTCAGATGCTTTTTTGCAAACTCCAAGTGGGCTTGCATGTGTTTTGCACTGAGGAGAGGCTTCTGTCTAGCCACTCTGTCATAAAGCTCAGATCAGTGGAGGGCTGCGGTATGGTTGTCCTTCTCCACATAGGATCTCTGGAGCTCAGTCAGGGTGACAGTTGGGTTCTTGGTCACCTCTCTTACTAAGGCCCTTCTCCCCCAATTGCTCAGTTTGACGGGGCAATCAGCTCTTGGAAGAGTCCTAGTTGTGTCAAACTTCTTCCATTTGAGAATTATGGAGGCCATTATGCTCTTAGGAAACTTCAGTGCAGCAAACATTTTATTATAGCCTTCCCCAGATCTGTGCCTTGCAATAATCCTGTCTCTGAGCTCTGCAGGCAGTTCTCATGGCTTTTGCTTTGCTACACTATGCATTGTTAGCTGTGAGGCCTTCTAGAACAGTGGTTCTCAACCTTTTTAATGCCGCAACCCCCAACCGGTCGTAAGTCGAGGACTACTCAACTGGTGCAGCACCGTTTGCAGAATGGGACTTTCTGCAGAGACAGCCTGGACAATTCCTATTGGCTTTTGAGAGCCAATAGAATTAGACTGTATTCAAGAGAGTCTATTCTATTGGCTTTCAAAAGCCAATAGAATAAAAGGGAGTAGCACAGCTAAGGAAAAGGGGGAAAAAATGGCGGAATGCGTTGTTTGGCGACCCCCATGAAATGGTCGGTCGACTCCAAATGGGGTCCCGACCCACAGGTTGAGAACCACTGTTCTAGAGAGAGGTGTGTCTTTCCAAATCATGTCCAATCAATTTAATTTACCACAGGTGGATTCCAGTAAAGGTGTAGAAAGATGTCAGCAACCATCAAGAGAAATGGGAGGCACTGGAGCTAAATTTCAAATCTTATTGCAAAAGGTCTGAATACTTATGCCAATGTGTTATTTCAGTTTTTTATTTTTAATAAATTTACAGACATTTCTAAAATTCTGTTTCTACTTTGTCATTATGGGGCACTAAGTGTAGATCAGTGGTTCTCAACCTTTTTAATGCCGCGACCCCCCAACCGGTTGTAAGTCGAGGACTACTCAATCGGTTGTAAGTCGAGGACTACTCAACTGGTGCAGCACCGTTTGCAGAATGGGACTTTTGGCGGGCTGAGCAGGGCAGAGACAGCCTGGACAATTCCTGTTGGCTTTTGAAAGCCAATAGAATTAGACTCTATTCAAGAGAGTCTATTCTATTGGCTTTCAAAAGCCAATAGAATAAAAGGGAGTAGCACAGCTAAGGAAAAGGGGGGGGGGAATGGCGGACTGCGTTGTTTGGCGACCCCCATGAAATGGTCGTTCGACCCCAAATGCAGTCCCGACCCACAAGTTGAAAACCACTGGTGTAGATGGAGAAAGATGAGTGTATAATCAGGCTGCAGCATAACAAAATTGACAAAAATGAAGGGGGTCTGAATACTTTATGAATGCGCACTGTAAATGAACACTGATCACTACAACTTGAAAACTCAGGTGGACCTTTGCCTATGCTGCTTTTCTATTATCCCACAAGGAAGGGCTTACCCAGATGGCTACCTGTGTTTTTCCCCTTACCTGTGGGTGGTACATCCTCTTAGGAAACTGGTTTTAAAGCTCTACTCACACAAATAAAATACTTTTTGTGATTAGTATTAATGTTTATTTTGCTTCAGTCTGCATTTATTCCATTAACGCTCTCCAGAATACTGCTCTGCCAAAAGATATAACACAGAATGAGCCACTGAAATATATTTTGCTCCTAGGAATGTCTATTATATTATCTACTGTTTGCCAAAAGCCGCCTGTTCACCATGATGTATTCACCAGGTTCCAGAGGTAATCACTGATAAAGCAAGGAGAATGTTGGCTACTGTCCAGGTTGATAGATTGAGCAATATCTGGTCCATAATGGGCTGAGAACAAAGAAAAAAGTTAAGGAAAAAATTACCTGTGTTTCTTCCTTGGCCCAACCCCCAGTTCCATGGAAGGGAAAATATCGAGCTCAAAATCCAAGAAAGACACATTGAGATTTTTCTAAGCAGTTTCCTTTATGTTCTTCACCTATAGAAGAAATCTTTCCAAACTAAAGCAGACTTACTTGCACCATAAAACAAATTCTGGGAACTATTAGGGAGGCGCTGTCTTCACTCTCTTTCTCCCTCAAACTATTTAAACGGTGGGATGTCTTGCTTCCCTGGAATGCTCTCCCTCCCTCCCTCCCTGGAATCCAGACATTGCAGAAGGATACTTCCTTTGATCAGGGGTGGCTCACAAGAATAGTCCCAGTCAATCTGGCAGATCTGATAATAAAGATGTACGAGATACCTGGCAAACATAACAAAATATGAGTTGCTTGTTTGGTGCAGATCCTATCATTATCTACAATTGCTGAAATATGCTCATAGGCTATGATTCACAGGCCTCATGTCAAATGAATCTGGAAAATGCAAAACAAAGGAAAGCTGGATGTGTAGTGATTTCCTGGAGTGCTTTTGCTTTTTGTTCAAAGCAGGTTTTCTCAAAATAGTCAATACTGATCCCCAAAGGGAGTAGTAGTAGTCATTAAAGTAGTTTATATTATCTTCATATAACAAATGTTTGAAGTCTGAGGAACAATCTGAGGTTTCATGAAAGGGTTGTTGAACTGAGGAGTTTGGGGACCCTGATTAAAAACCTACTTCTTTTTCCCATTGTCCCATTTAAAAAAAAAAAAAAGCATGCAAGTGTTCCAAGTATTCTGCATGCAATAACTACTTAACAAGGGTCCACAAATGTTTATTTTTACTCAAGTTCATAACTTCAAAGCAAGATTGTCAAACTACCTCGTGTATCCCCTTGACAAATCAAAAGGAAATTTGGGGGGGTGGGAATGACATACATTAATGTAGCCTTTTTATGGTTTGATCACCATTTTAATAATTTAGAATGTTTATATGGATGTCCAACTCAAACAACTTGCATAAAGGAAATGGATAACCAAGATAGAAGCCAAGTAGCCTAGTCTTGTAATTCACCTTTTGCAAATGAAAAAGATTAGAGGTAAGTTTTTACTCACGTAGCTGACATAGTTCTGTCAGTTTCTTCTGTTGCTTTCTGCTGCTGCTGCCTGCTTTCTTCTCTCAAAGTCTCCAGCTGTTTTCTCAATTCAGTATATTGTGTGAGTGAAGGAATCCAAGTAATTCTCCAAACTAACAGAGCTCTTAATAATACTCCATTAATAAGAGTTTCCGTATTGTGGGAAATGGTGCTATAATACCTGAAGCATATTCCAAAATAAGTGCCTGGAAATCAAACTATCCTTGGTATTTAAGCATCAAGGTACACTTCTGCACCAACTAATCCATTGGTTGTCCGGTTTTCTTCTGCTTAACAGAATCAAAATCTGAGCAAAGGAGTTAAGTGAACTACCCCAATAAACAAATACAAACTGCTCAGCCTTTTTGAAGGAGCTATACACAGACTTGTTTATTGGTTCACTTTTATTTTCAAAATCCAAATTAAAGCAAAATCTAATCAGTTTATAGAATGACCTGTCATTGTTTTCTTGCCCTGAGTAAATTTTATAAATGGCAAGTGTGGTTGGAATCCTGCTCAGAGAACTAATTTTAACAAGCCAAAGAAGATTCTTAGACAACCTGGCATGCATTGGATAAAAAAATATATAACAAATATAGAATGTGCCCTAAAGGACAGTTACTTGCAACAAACAGGAAAGACCTTAAAATATGTTACGCTACAAAAGAAGATTCTACCATCCAGCTTATTTTTTTTCTCCTTTCACATCCTAAAAACTCAATCTCTCCTCTAATACTTCCCAATACACCAACTTACTTTTGTCAAAATATTGTGTGATAGAATAAAAGCTCTACAGCTCCTTTGGGATTTCTTGGGGGGTGAGTGGGGGAAATGAGTTGCTCCTTTTTAAACCTTGTGTCAGAACCCTGTCCTTCTATGGGCATGGGGTTTCTTGTTCTTTTCGGGTTCTGCCATTCTCCTGGGGGGGGTGTAGTTTGGGTTGCTGATGTGCATTTCCTCTTGCTCGCTTCCTTCCTCTGTCCTCTGATGTTTCTACATTGGGATGAGAATGGAATGTGCCTCTGGCCATCTGCCTTAGTGCAGAGAGACCTAACAGCCTTGGAAGCGGCACCTTATTGTCCTTTCCCACAGCATTTTCACACCTGCGGATTGGCTGTTTTAACCGTCTGGATGGACAGTTGGGGTGGGGTTACTACTGATTCTTTTGACCCATTGAATGATGTGGGAAACCTTCAGATCCTGCCTTCTATTCCTGCTGTCAACATTTCCCAATAAAAGTTCCTTTTTGGGATGATGTTCGTTTCAAGAGTTCTGTTTCTTGGGAGGATTGATTGAGGCAGGTCCTTACACCTTTTGCTATTTTCCCCTTTCGCAATGCCCCTATTAAACTACAACATAATTGAGCATTCTGTCTTCCTAGCCCTTTTTTTCACCTATAATTGTCCTACAACAGAGAAATTATAGGTAACGTACAGGGAAAAATATGTTCCAGAGACTATGTTTGTCTTGGCTATGTGAAACATGTCACCCTAGTCGATTTTATAATAAAGGCATCAGATCCTGCTTCCTGTTGGGCACAGAAATTTCCATTATTTTCAAAACTCCATAGATAATGGTCTATCACCTAGTTATGAAGTGCCTGGATTCCGCAAATTGTCCAGCTCTGATTAATAGAGAGGCACTTGTTTATGATAGCACATACACATCAGATTACCTTTTATCAACAAGAGTTAGGGTAGGTGGCTAAAGGGCCAAAAGTAATTAAACCAACTTCAGGCTAACTTCAGGCTAATGATGGTAATGGGACCAGCAACTCCATCACTAAGTGCTTTTAAAGTGACATCATGAGACACCGACTTATGAGGGCTCTTCCAGCACTTTTAGATGCTAAGTGAATCCCACACAGTTGTTAAGCATGAAATCCTGCGATTGCCATTTGTGACCTCCTGCCTGATTCCCCATTTTACTTTATAGGAAGTAGCAGGGAAGCTTATGTTATAAAGATTATAAAGTGCTAGTTATAACCGTTAAAGCCCTGCATTGCATAGGTCCAGATTACTAGATGAACCATCTTGTCCCGCTAAGACATGCCTGCTCTACACATGCCAGCAGAGGAGGTCTGCCGAGGATCCCATCGGTCAAGGAGTACCTCACTGGAGATGGTTGATGGACTAACTTGCTGATCCCACCTCCATCCTGCACTTCCGGCTTCTGCTCCACTCATCTTTTTAACTTCATATTATTGTACTTCCACTGTTTATTTTTGTTTCATTCCTTTACTATTGTTATTTTTACAGTTTTATCATATTTTTTTGTGTTTTATTGTTGTAAGCCACCCAGAGTAGCCCCACAGGAAAATGGGCACCAAATTTAACAAATAAATAATAAATAAATGGCAATCACATGACTGTAGGATGCTGAGACAATTGTAAATACGAGTTAGTCACCAAGTGCGCAAATTGTAATTAGGTTACTGCAGGAACACTATGATAATCAGAATTTTGAGGATCAGTTGTAAATCCCACCCATTCACCTCCATTGTAACTCTGAATGGTCGTTGAAAGATTGCTTGTAAGCAAGAACTACCTGTACTTCTGATTTCAACATCTTGAGAGCCATGCCAATTCTACCATGAAGCATAATAGGACACAATTTCTGTCAAGCCAACAAGACCTTTTTAGGTAGCTCTGATGCTGGATTTCCTGTTCATGACATCAGAAATACTGGGGGAAAAAATTACCCTTAATCCCAAGGTAGGACAGTTCAACCAGTCTTTGAATTCTGGTCACAAGTTGTTCTCAACAACAAAGGTAAAAGTTTATAGCTAAGAAACTCACAATGCTGTTTTACATATATTACATCACTTTTTCTTGCATACAGTACTACAAACAGGACAAACAATGGTTGATTTAGGACAAACTTGCTGCTTTCTCTAGGAATTAATAGTGTAAAAGCAGTTTGGACAGAGAAAGCTCCTTTTTAGTTTGCTTTTGCCTGTGCTTATTAGCACATATTTCTTTCTCTGCCAGTGCTTTATGCAATTTACTTGCTATTATATCGGCTTCTGACTAACAGTAACCAACAGAGATTAAATCATATAAAACCAGAAAACTAAAATCATAAGACTGATTTACTTTGGCCATGTTATGCATGCAAATTCACTGGGAAGGCAATGATGCTAGGAACGGTTAGTGGACAAAGAAGAAAGGGCAAGCAAAGAACATGCTGCCTTGATAACATCAAATCTGATACAAAATTGAACATAACAATTGAAAGAAACTGTGCTTGCAGGGTAGCATGGAGAATATTTGCCTGTAAAGTTGCCAAGAGTTGGACACAATTAAAAGGTTAAAACAAAGATATTGGCTTCTAGTGTATTATGTTTGGTATTCTAAATTTTGCTAATGTCTGCCAAAGTACATTGACTTTGGGGTCCAATACAAATCTAAGGCTCAAAACACTCAACTTATTGGATGCTAGTTGAACACTAAGAAGAAATCCAATTTTCCCTTATTGATGTTCTCAAACCACTTTGGACTTGAGCCAATATTTTACTGTATTAAGTATGGCTTAGAAAGGATGTAACATTTAGAATAAAGATATGCAAAATATACCATCCTACAATTTTTTCTCTGACCACATCAGTGCAGCTGTTCTGGAGATAAGACTGGTAATTTTCCAGAAATCAATTCTCTCAGCCAAAGCGGACTGTTCTGTTCCAGATATGAGCTTCCAATTAGGAGAATAAGCTTCTAGAAAATCACCCAACTTGACAGGTACAGTCCAGAGAAGGAATTGTTAGGTTTCAGACCTACCTAGTCTGGAGGGAGGGAGATCATCTTAACTCCTCACCAGAAGCCAACATGAAAGGATATTTAATATTGATCCTCAATTTTTCATCCTTTTCATTTGTCTGAAGGAGTTCTTGTTCAATTTTCTGCAGCTTTTGGATGCTCGCCTTCAACTCCTCTTCCCTGTCAGAAAGTCTCTGTGCCACTTTCTCCTCAGTAATCATGAGGTCTATAGTGAAAGCAGAATACAGTATATCTCCAGTTAAAATATAGCTGGTTAGGAAAACTGAATGTCAGCATTAATTTTCTTTCTCATCATCTATTAAAATACTCAACAAATTTCTACAAATGTCCTCATTGCTTTATTTTAAGTTTTCTTCAATTTGATGATCTCCAAACATACTAAGATTTCTCATAATCCTTGCTAGTATAGCAACAATTCATTAATTTGACAACCCTAGTTTGGGGGAAATAATCCATAAATATATAACAGGGATGTGCAGTATGAACCATGCACAAATCATTCCTTTTAAAGAATAGTTGGTTTCAAATGATATAGCCAAGCTAAAATATCTCAGTTTGATTTATGGGACAAAATTGATCTAATGTATTTGTTTACAATGGAGATTAAAATACAGATTTCCAGTGTGAGGGAATAGTAGAAAAAACAAAGTGGAGAATTTCTTTGATGGCAATGTTGCAGTGATAATAAGGGCAATGAAAAATAAGAAGGACATGAGAAATGAACGACTATTATTTGATGGTTATTCATTGGTTATTCAGCTGCATAATCATTGTTATATTAGGAGGGTCTCTGGTGCTTCCTATAGACACCAATGGCTGTCTTCTCTGCTCTTTTATTATATGAAAATCAGTAGCAGTTCAGAATGGGAAGGACAGGCATTGGAAAACCAGTCAAATAATAGATGCAGAGAGCTGCAGAAATGGTAATGGTGGAATCGTGGAGAATTATCTTTTTTCTGAATAAACCAGGGCAACATACAACAGTCTTGCACTACTTGCTCCATATCTGTCAGGGATATTCCTACAGGTTTTGCTAAACTGAAACAGGGAACAATCAAAACTTTCTGACTGTTTCCCTGCCAAACTGCGACCATTTCAAAACAGTAGAATTTCCAAAACTACAATTTAATTCATTTTTGAAACAAGGTATTTTCTCCACTGGGTACATAGCCGTAATCCAAATTCAATGGACTACAGTAAAGAACTGGAATACTAAAGAAAGGTACTTATCAGATGAGGACCTCTAGATCAATTTAGTCTTTGAGTTTAGCAATGTGAGAATGAATAAACTGTGGCCCTAGAATCAGACTTGTCTTTTGGCTTGCTTTTAATCTTCTACTATACTCAGTTTTCAACTCTTTGATTTGAATTCTTAGTAAACTTTAAAAAAAAGAGGTAAATATTTTTAATCTAGAAATGTATAATTCAAATATGTTATATTTGAATTATATATATATGACTGCTTATATGTATCAAAGTAGGACTGTTCTGTTTTCAATATACGAGACCAAATGTTGCAAATCACAATTTATTTTAAAACAATAAATTTTAAGCAGGATTTCTCTCTGTGTGTGTGTAGTGGTTAAGTTTAAATTTTCCTCCTTAAATGGCAAATGTACCAGCAAAATCTTGACTGCAAGGTTAAGTCAGGAAAAGACAAAAAGTACCTTTGATCAGCTGTTTTGTGGTCTTCTGAGTATTCAAAAGTTTGTCAATCATTCTCTCCTGTTGGGACAGATTGTGCTTCAGCATCTCCACTGCCTTGCCTTCTGTCATCAGTTTGAGCAGCTCCCTTCTCACTTTTTCCATATCTCCAATTCGTTCATTGACAGCAGCCATTGCAAGTGCCAAGCTAAGAGGAGAATCCTGATGTCTGAGGGAAACTTAGGAAGGCATATGGTTCTTTAATGAAGGAAATGTGAATCCCCACCAAGTTTTCACCTAAAACCCGGTATAGATACAGGGACCATAAGCCCTTTATTACAAAAGACAATCCTTTACTTCAGAAAGTTGCCCATTAGAGTTAAGTTAATCATATATTTTCTTGGTTTTACTCTTGATTTTATAAATGTTATAAACACATTTTTTATCATCCTCTCTCAGGTTTGTCCCTTTTTTCAGGTCTATATTTTATCTTTTCCAAGAAAATATGCTCACTGTAAGTTTAGGATAGTATAAAGTTAAAATGCTAAATAGCTTTTCTGTATCCTCCATCTTCACTCATGAAAACTCACTGGGTGACTTTGGCCTTCCATTCTCTCTACCTACCTATCTCAAAAGATTGCTGTGGTCAATAAATGGAGAATAGGATGCTACGTACACCTTTTCCTCTTTGGCACAAAAGATGGGATATATGGGTAGTCCTTGACTTACAACCTTTCGTTTAGTGACTGTTCAAACAGTTACAACAGCACTGAAAAAAGTGACTTATAACCATTTTTTCACTTATTGACCACTACAGAATCCCCTTGGTCATGTGATCAAAATTCAGACACTTAGCAACTAGGATATATTTATGACAGTTGCAGTGTCCCAAGTCACGTGATCTCCTTTTTTGACCTTTTGACAAGCAAAGTCAATGGGGAAGCCAGATTCACTTAATCACCATGTTACTAACTTAACAATTGCAGTGATTCACTTAACAACTGTCTTGCTTAGGAACAGAAATGTTGGGCTCAATTGTGGTCGTTAAGTAGAGGACTACCTGTAAAGGGTAGCAGGACTGCGAATTCTGAAGAAAAAGTGGGATATATGAACCAAACAAACAAAACAAATAAGTTAAAAAGGGCTTCTTATATACAAAACAAAGTATGATGTAACTACAATAGCACAGGATATGGGAAAGGCCCAGCAAGCAAGCAGGCAAGCAAGCAAGCTCCTTATTGACATGCACTTCCAATACAGTGCTAGAGCTGAATTTTGGGCAATTAATACAAGCTCCGAGCGTCGGTTTCCCTCTCCCGGACTTCGAACACATGTAGGTGAGAATCCATATCGTGCAACCACCCACTCTCGCCACTCGTGCAAGCCGTTCACGTCTTACCCAATGCCACCGATCCAGACGAATCCAATCCTGGCGCCCTTAAAGCTATTAGGAATACGCCTCTCCTATTGGTCGTCGCCAAGACCCGCAGGGGCCTGATTTGTCACCTGCATCATGTGACCCCAAAACTGGACGTGTTCAAAAGTTCTTTTCCGCCTGCGCAAACCGCCACTGTATAGCAGGCTTTTCCGAGTTTCCAAGAAGTAGGAAAGTTAGAGTTGCGGACTGCTGCAATTTTTTTCGACGTTCCCATTTGAACGGCGAGCGGATTTTCTCACGATAGCTTCTGATATGAAGACGTAGTTGATCTTCAGTAGAGACTTGGACAGTCTTAAACTTAAAAGAAGCGAAATCCTTAGCGATTTTCATTTTTTTCGCCGAATTGTGTTCATTTCATACTTCTGCCTCCTAGCAATATCATTTACGCATGTGCTTAACTTTTCCCCTCCCATTTTGTTTGTGCGCATGCGCCTACTTAGTCTCATCTTCCCCATTCAGCAAATGGATCATTTTGAAAGAGGAAAGGTGTGCTCTGACCTTGAACAAACGAAAGAGGGCGCTACTTCGCCTGACGGATCTGCTGTCTAAAAGCTTGAACCTGCACTTAAAAGGAGAGGCAGTTTTGCATAAATTTTGTATATCCCTGGGTATGTGTAACTAAGGTGACCAACCGTCCTCCTTTTGGGAGGACAGTCCTCCTTTTTTGAGTTCTGTCCTCCCTCAAAAAGTGTCCTCCTAAATGTCCTCCTTCTCCATATACCATCCTCCTTTTGGGAGGACAGTCTTCCTTTTGTGAGTTCCGTCATCCCTCGAAAATGTCCTCCTAAATGTCCTCTTTTTCTATATTTGAAGACTTATCTGCAGGGCTTTTTTTCCCTCATAGAACGCTCAGAAGGCGTTCCGGCACCTTTTTTTGATGGTTTTTTTCAACTTTTGCCTGAGCTGTGCTACTCCCCCTATCGGCTTTCGAAAGCCAATAGGAATTGCTGCTGAGCGTGCCAAAACACCCAGGTGGCAAACTTTGCACGTGCAAGTTGCAGGAACTTTGCACCCCTCACTGCTACCCAACTACACCATCTCTTACTTAGTTCTGCAGATAGCTGCAGGAGACTGGAGCGGTAAGTTTGTCTTGGTCTTCCCTGTTCGGTTCTACACAGGGATGCGCAGGGTGGGCAGTGGTGCTGGGGGGGACGGCTGCAGGGCCGGAGCTGGCTCGGCTGGTGCTTTGCGAGCTGCGGGGCCAGCTCTCCATGGCAGGGCAGCAGTGCTGGCAGGGTGGCTGTGGGTGGGGGCACGGTGGGCAGTTGACCTTCCATGGGCCACGCTAGCTGGTGGTCTACGCAGTGCTGATCTGCGCTGCCACCACCTCACCTACGTGGCCATCCTGGAGCACCTGGCTCACAACACCTGCCTCTGCCACCCACCCCCACGCAGTCCAGCCGTGTAGATTTTTGGACAAGTGAGAAATCGAGATTGAATGTTGATACTCTAGCTGCAGCACTTGCCGTAAAATTCAATATGAAGGATATTTCTTGTTCAGATATTTCCAATATATTGTTAGAAGATGATACATTGACAAAAAATATTCATTCAATGGAAAAGTACTCATTTAAATAATTAATAGGCATGTAAGCATAATTACAATATAAAATGTTATTGTTACAAATGTTTTTATTATGCATTTATCATATTATAGTGTATTCTGTATTATTGTTGCAATAAATACAATGTTTCTTTTATTTACGATATTTTTTCTTCAATTTATTTGTGTCCTCCTTTTTGTTGTAAAAAAGTTGGTCACCTTATATGTGTATAGATGCCAAATTGAAAATAATATATACGATGGCATATCATGAATGCTAAAAAGTGCTAGGTAATTCTAGCTGTTTGAATGGGCAGTTCTTCAAGAGGGCACCTTTAAACTGAAAGTTATTTTCATGGTCACTTTATTTATATAGTGCTTTTATCTTATCTACAGTAGCAATAGTTAATAGGCAAGTATATTTATTTAGAAACAGAATTATTTGCCGATCGTTTTGGGGAGCCAAGTATAAAACTATATTATAGTTTCCTCTCATACACATATGAGACTGTAATCCTATTAACTCTCTTATGAATTATTAAATAAAAATCTTTTTAATAACCTATGGAGATTCTTAGTCATACATGTCAAGATTGCTCCCAAAGTGTTTTTTCCAAAAGGCAACTGCACTTTTTTGGTTTTTCCTTGAAAACATTTCGCTTCTCATCCAAGAAGCTTCAGAAGTGAAGAAGCTTCTTGGGTGAGAAGTGAAATGTTTTCAAAAGGAAAACCAAGAAAGTTCAGTTGCCTTTTGGAAAAAGCATCTCTAGTTCAGTCTGAGCCAAGGTGTAAAAACTCTGTCTGAAGGAGTGTCCATTAGGTTCATGTAGTTCCTATTATTTGAATCCTATATTTTTTTTTGTTTGACCACCTAATTTTTTATATTTAGCCAGACCTGACAATATAAATGGGGTTATGTGTACTGTACAATGTTTGAAATCATCTCATACAGACTGATGTTGCATAATGCTCCTAAACTGCTCAACTGAAGATTTAGCAGCTGCATTTGGACATCAGCACATGTGGTTAGTGTTAATGTTGAATTGCCTTTTCAGGGGCATGTTGTTTGACTCCAACCAGCTCAGTTAACTAGTTATTCAATGCATCTGCAAAGTCAGAAAAATTGATAGCTAGATTAAGCACATTTGGGCTAAGGCAGCCATAGTGAAGCCCAGATTTCTCTCCTTAAAAAGTAGCTTTTGTTTTTCCTATTTCAACAATCATGTTGACCAATTGGATCTCTGAACATTGCTCCTGCTCCCCTCATGTTCTCATATTTAACCTTGATAATATTCACAAACAGATCTTACTCTAACCCAGTGATAAATCCATCTATTTATTCTCTGAAAAGACTATGGACAAGTAACATCATTCACACATAGGAGTTATTCTCCCGTATATTTTCCAAAGTAATGTGCCATTTTATGCTACAAGACTCTTCTATAATCCACACAAGCCTGATATGACAACTCCAGGCAAAATACACTTGCAACCAAAAAAAAAAGGGAATGTAAAAATCAGAGAGGAGGATTTTATACCATGCCACACACACACAGCCCCCCCCCCCAAATATTTTCACAGTCACATTAAAGAATCTGGCCTTTATCAAAGGAGCTTCAGAGGCAGACTAAACTAAAAAAAGCTGTCAAGGCTTTTAAAAGTTCAGTTCCATCTTTGGAGGCTTGAAGTGAAGAAAGAGTTCTTTTCACTCTATGTGATTTCATAAGCTTACTGAATGCTTATATGTTCTGGGTTATCAGCAACAACTCTTTTCTAAAGGGCAACTGTCAAGAATGGGATGATCACTGTCCTGTACTTTGTGAATGTCATTTCCTTCTGATTTCATGGATATTTGCCAAAACGGGTAAGAACAAGGGCCAATGAAATCAACAGTAGTAAAGCAGAGTCATTTAAATCCATCAAGTACATGGCAGGGGGGAGAAACAGAAAAGGAAGAAAGATGAGGCTAAAGAATAGGAAGAGGTCAGTGATATTTTGGTCAGAGGAGGAAGAAGTAAAGCAGACAAATTCTGGCTGGAGGGCAGACCCAAATAAAAGAGCGTATTACAATCTACTCTAAAATGAGTAAAGTAGCAAAGAAGCACTCCTTTTGCACTGCATTTGTGTCTCAGTGCTGCACAGTGCAATTTCTGGTATGATTTGTGTTATTTTTTTCTCTCTATGAGACTCAATCTGACTTATTTGTGAAGCAAATCATCTTCAGCTGCAGAGTTTTAAAACTAAAACGCTTAATATTTCTGTCACTTAATAATTCTTCTGTGGGGTCATAATATCAAGCAGGAAGCAGCATAGGAAATCATCTGTGTTCTTGAGCAAGATCCCCTGGAAAGAAGTGGATTTAAGTCCACCTTCCTTAAACCAAAAGGCCGCAGTACAAAATGCTTTAAATAAAAGTTGTCCCCCAAACCTTTTATTTTTGGATGGTGGTTTTTATTTTGTTTATTTGTTTGTTTTGTAGCAAGGAGTCATAGGACCACCAAATTTTAGTGAAGAAATTACAATTACAACAAGTTTCCCAACCACTTTTAGGTAGACAACCTGATTGCCTAAGCCCTAAAACAGACTAACACTCTTTTTTAAAAAAAAGTAATATCTCCCAAATTCCATCCTCCCCCCCAAAAAAAAATAAAGAAAAACCTTCCCTGTGATTTTACATCAATTCTACATCATGGCCTCACGTTGTTCAGATAACTGGCCCTGGTAATATGGCCACCTGCCTTCCCCTCACAATTAAATATTGACTCTAGCCTTGAAAAAAAAATACCCCTTTGTGATTCAGAAGATCTTCCTTTCTGCTCTTGGAGGCTGTTACTCAGGAAATATCATTTTAAAAGAAAAGGAGAGAAAGAATAATTCTGCTGGGGTCCATTGCCAGATCTGGACCACATTACAGTTCTAGATGGGAGTGTGAGAGTAGAATGCAAACGTACAATGTGATCCATACTAGGTGTACAAGAAGTCATCTTAAGGTTGTACAGTATTAAAAAATTGCCCTTGGCTTCCTTAGAATTAGAATTAATCAAAAGGAGAAGTTGGATAGACTTAAATCTGCGACTCTCTTCTTCTAGGCCATCCTCTTCACAATTATATTGTGAACCTGTCCAGTATGTCCAGATGATAGTTCAGTGCATCTTGCAAACCAGAAAATATAATTAATTTGTTGAACCATTGCTACTACTTAACTAAGGGCAGGTAAAAATGTCAAATATCACATATGAAAATACAAAATGAAGAAAGAAGAAAACACAGCAGTGTGAGCAATAACAGCATGCTTCAGTATGTTCATGTAATTAACACCCATCCTTCATGAGCTGCATTGGTTACCAATTTGCTTCCAGATGCAATTCAAGGTGCTGGTTGTTACCTACAGTATAAAGCCCCACATGGCATAGGACAGTGATGGCGAACCTTTTAGAGTCCGAGTGCCCAAACTGCAACCCAAACCCACGTATGCATCGTCGGGTGCCGGGTGGGTGTGGCCCATTGGGTGGGTGTGGCTGCGGTGGTAACAGCAGACTGGGTGGGACTAAAAAGTTCAATCAATCAGTTCCAACTTTGCAAGATCTTTTCTTTTCCCGCAAGAAGTTGAAATTGACTGATTGATTAAACCTTTTCTTTGTACATGGCAGCGGAGGCCTAAAGCAAAAAGGTTTTATAAAACCCAGCTGAAAGCCTAGGACTGGGGCGACGGTGCACGTGCCCACAGAGAGGGCTCTGAATGCCGTCTCTGGTACCCGTGCCATAGGTTTGCCACCACTGGCATAGGACATTTTTATTTGCCGTTTTACTGC